AGGCCTAGAGCAGCAGAGCCTCCAGGGCCGCGGCGAGGAGCCCAGGGAACCAAGGGGGAGGGCGGGGGGGGAGCGGGCAAGCGGGGCAGGGCAGGCGGGGGGGCCGGGGTCGAGCTCCCGGGGGGGTCGCAGCGTCGGCTCGTGCGCTCCTGTGCGGAGGAGGCCGAAAGGGGCAGCGGAGGAGGGAGGAGGGAGGAGGAGGAGGAGGAGGATGAGGAGGAGGAGGAGGAGGAGGAGGAGGAGGAGGAGGAGGAGGAGGAGGAGGGGCAGGAGCAACGTCAGAAGGGGGTAGGGAGGCCACAGTCAGATCCGCCAGAGAAGCCGCATCGGCCACGCGCTCGCGGGCGGAGGGCGGAGGAGCGGGCACAACCTCAGCGGCAGGAAGGGGGGAGGGAGCGGTTCAGTGTTCCTCGCGAGATCTGAAGAAGAATGCAATGCTGGGGTAAGGAGGGAAAGAGGGGGCATGATCGCCCGGCGCGGACAGCAAGGACGTTCGGTGGAGAAGCGCGGGAGGGGGCGACACCGCGTGGGGGCGGGGCGTTGGGAGAGCGAGCGAGTGGGGGGCGCGAAGGGGCGGATGGCGCGATGGACCACAGGAAGCAGGAAGGAAGTGCCAAGAGATGCCCAAGTGGAAAAGGAAGGGACCCCAATGTTGAGCAGGGACAGACCGTCCAAGCATTCCTATAGGCCTACCACGACATGTTCTTAGAACCCAAACAATTTTCTAAGAACAACTCTTAGAACATAAACCCGACGCGTTCAAACAAAACAACCTCTGCCAGAAATGCTCTAAGAGCATTCCGTGCAAAGCAAACAAGGCTCTTAGATCATTCCTTGGTGGGCCTCTAGGCGAGCCAAGACGCTTGGCCACTGCTTGACAATGGGGGACGGCTGCATCCGACACCGTGCCTTCCGCGCGATGAGGCGCGGAAGAATACCACGGGCTGCCTAGTGGGAGTTCTGTAATTATCACTCATATATGAGGCCACCCGCGCCGACTGTTAGGTAGGGCATGCCCCCCTACAGGCGGGCTCTGGACGAAAAACAACAAGTGCCCCAAAAACACTCAAACATAGCCCGAAAAACACCCCATACATCGTCCCCAGACCATTGTTTGAGTAGTTTTGAATATCCCTCCTGTACAGGGACAGGCCCGACTTAACACTTAACATATTCACTCATGGCCAAAAAAGCACCCCAATAATCGTCCCCATTTCCTTGTTTGGATATCTTTGAATACTCCTCCTGTAGAGGGACAGGCCCGACTGAACCCTTAGCATACTCAAACATAGCCCCGAAAACACTCCAAAGATCGTCCCCAAGCCATGTTCTGCCTATGTTGGAATACTCCCCCTGTAGATGGACAGGCCCGACTTAAGCCTTAACATACTCACACATAGCCGAACAAAAACACTCCAAACATCGTCCCCATCTCATTGTTTGGCTATATTTGAATAGTCCTCCTGTAGAGGGACAGGCCCGACTTAACACTTACCATACTCAAACATAGCCGGACACTCCAAAGATCGTCCCCAGACCATTGTTTGTCTAGTTTTGAATACTCCTCCTTTAGAGGGACAGGCCCGACGTAACACTTAACATACTCACACATAGCCCCAAAACCAATCCAAAGATCGTCCCCAGGCCATGTGTTGCCTTGTCTTGAATACGCCTCCTGTACAGGGACGGGCCCGACTTAACACTTAACATACTCACACATGGCCAAACAAGAAACCCAAAGATCGTCCCCATCTCATTGTTTGACTATCTTTGAATATTCCTCCTGTAGAGGGACAGACCCGACTTAACCCTTAACATACTCAGAAATAGCTCCGAAAACACTCCAAAGATCGTCCCCAAATCATGTTCTGCCTATGTCGGAATACTCCCCCTGTAGAGGAACAGGCCCGACTTAAGCCTTAACATACTCAAACATAGCCGAACAAAAACACTCCAAACATCGTCCCCATCTCATTGTTCGACTATCTTTGAATATTCCTCCTGTAGAGGGACAGGCCCGACTTAACACGTAACATTCTCAAACAAAGCTGAACACTCCAAAGATCGTCCCCAGACCATTGTTTGCTTAGTTTTGAATGCTCCTCCTGTAGAGGGACAGGCCCGACGCAACACTTAACATACTCACACATAGCCCCGAAAACAGTCCAAAGATCGTCCCCAGGCCATGTGTTGCCCAGTCCTGAATACTCCTCCTGCGGGGGGACAGGCCCGACGTGACGCCCTACCGCAGCACCTCCCTGCATATGCGTCGCCCTTCCCTCCCCCCCGGAGGCCCGCGACCCGTCGTGGAGCGGGGGCGAAGCGGGGGAGATCAGGGCTTTGCCCAGCAACGCCAGAGAATTGAGCAGGGACCCGCCGTCCCGGCATTCCTGTGGGCCTACCACGACATGTTCTTAGCACCCAAACTTGTTCGAAGAACAGAGACAATGTTCTTAGAACGTGCATTCAAAAACCCTAATAAGGACGCGCGGTAAGGACGCAAGACCCTTGGAAGCCGAAGTTGGAATTTTTGGGGCGGCGGACGTCGAAAACCTCAAGGACGCAAGAGCAAGGAAGAGCAAGGACGCAAGGGTACCCTGAGCAAAGTCGCGCGCCCTTATTAGGGTTTTTGACTGTAAACCTGATGTGATAAAACAAGACAGTCCCAGCCAGAAATGTTCTAAGAACATCTCGTGCAGACCACAACAGAAGGTTCTCAGAACATTCTCTGGTGGCCTATAGGCGAGCCAGGACGCTTCGCCACCGCTTGAATCTCCTGGAGGCGCACCTTTTACTTTGGCCACACGCAGGAGTGACCCTGGGTAAGAGTGACCTTTGGTGCGCGGCTTTTTGGGGGCCGCGGGGGGACCAAACCTGGGCGCGCAAGCCGCTGCTCCTGCTTCATTTTCAGCCATCTGGGGACCCATCTGTGCCCGCACCAAAGGTCACTCTTACGTCTAGTCGATTACTTCCGCCGCCTTCCACGGGCCTCCCGCCGGCTTCCGCAGGCGGAGGCGGCCTCGCTCTAACGCCGCCGCCCTTCCGCCGCCCTCTGCCGAGGAAGCGACGGCAGCTCCTCCAATCCTCGAAGGCAAGGGCCCTTTGAGAACGCCGCGCTTCTGTGAGCACGCAGCAGACGAAACCTGTTCTTCCTCTTCTGACCGACGTCTGCGGAGGCCGGCGGCGGCGGCGCCGCCTCCTCTCGCCGCGCCTCCTCTCTCAGGCGCTCCTCCTCGCGCCGCACCTGGGCATCGTCTGGCCGGTCCCCGTCCACGCTGGCATGCCCGTGGCCCCACTGGCCGATGTTCCCGCCGAGATGGATGCACGGTAGGTTCGTGCGCCGCCGGCGCGCGCACAGGTTTTTGACGTCGCGTCGATCGTTCAACCTTGAATCGACAGCGGCCAATCGGGTCCAATGACATTACTGTGTACATCGGTGCTTCCGCGTCGCAGAGTTCAACCTTGAACGCCTTCGCCGGCGTGGCCGGCGGGCCAACGCCGCGTGAACCTACCGTACATGCTGCTTCCTTCGGGTCTCGCGGGGCCTATGCCCAACTGTGGGGGTGGGTGGGGCTGAGACACCATAGCACGCTAGGGATCAACCAGCCTCGGCCTCATCCCTATACCTGGGACTGACAAGCCCGAGGTGGTGATAGGCGTGGGGATGCGCCCTGAAAAAAAAACAGGTAGCCGTCAAGATCGGCTCCGACATGAGGGGACACCAATAGAGGTTGGGATATGCTTCCGGCTGACAAGAGAGGAGGATCGGTTGGACGATGCAGAACACTTCCTCTCCAGGAATCGGGATATGTTTCAGGCTGTCAATGACGAGCCAACAACACACACCCATACCCATAGAGGGGTCGGAGAGGGCTATGGGTGCGTGTTGTCGGATGGGGGTCTCCGCTCGAACGGGAGCGTTCCCCAGGGTCCGACAACCCGCACCCATACCCATAGCCAGTCCTCCTCCCAACGACCCCCCTATGGGTATGGGTGTGTGTTGCTCATTCGTCAGTCAGGTGCAGTAGCGGTCAACATCGAATCGATAAATCGGCACGAAGCGGATGGTGCATCGCATCTGGCCGCATCGGCACGGAGTCGGAATCGAATCGAATCGGCCGCGCCCAGATGCGCAGCGGCGCTAATCCAACCGTCGGGCCGCATCGGATCGTCGGAGCAGATCCATACAGCATCACATCGGGCCGGCAGGAATCGACAGCGAGTCGAATCGATCGGATCAAGATGAACCCAGAAGGGGTGGGGATCGGTTATGTAAAATGACGCGAAGATCGGGACAAAATCGGATCGGGATAGCTCGAAATCTCTGAGAATCGGCGGGTTTGGAGGATGTATTGGGCGCCGCGGCCGCTCCAGAGCGTTCCGGAACGCTCTGAGGGCGCTCCGGAACGCTCTGGAGCGATTTATCCCGATCGTAGCCCTGTTGTATTATGGGCAACCCACAAAGGACGTACGCGCCCGACCGCGTGCGAGGCCGGCCGCGTGATACGAGCGCTGTCACAATGCGTGCGTATTTTCGGAACCAAAGTGCACGAATGCATATGTACGTCCTTCTTTCGCTCCTAGGGTTAGACGATTGGAAGAAGAAGCAACGGCATAGACACAAACTTTTGGCGCTCCGCGTGGATTTCTTGGATCTGCGCTGGACCCCCTCCTTGACGCGCGGAGCGAGCCAAGGGCGGCGCCGGAGGCGCCGCTGGGGGGGGGGGCCCAGCGCGAATCCGAGAAATCCGCGCGGAGCACCAAACCAACAAACAAGTATGTTTAGGGCGCTGTTTCTTCTTCGAATGAGTGTACATGTACGTCCTTCTTTCGGGGGCGCGCAAACATGGACTAGCGATCCATGGATTTGGCGCGCGGTCGCCAAATCCATGGATCGGGGGAGGTGCCCTCCCAAAATGAAGTTGGCGCCGCCTTCTTCGGCGGCGGAAATCCGCGACTTCCCATGGAAACGGGACCCGTCGCTAATCCGCGCCCCCTTGATCCATGTTTGCGATCGCCTGATTATTTCGCTCCCGATGTTAGACTTAGGTCGGGCATGTCCTCCTACAGGCGGACTTTCTACGAAAGTTGGAAAAATCAATCAATAATCAAACAATTGAAAAAATACTAGAAAACGCGTCCCCAGACTAGTTGTTTGACTATCTTTGAATATTCTGACATGCCCGACTTTGGGACGCCCGAAATGGGTACGGAGAACATGGGCACAATGTCCCACAACAAATGTTCTCCCAAACCAACAGCGGCCGCTGTTGGGCAGGCGGCCTCCTGTCTCGAATGAGGGACACAGGCCGCGGCGGCGTGGACAGCGAGTCCTGTTCCAAATGAGCAGGAGCTGCTGTTGGACATCGTGCCCACTCTCTCCGTGCCCATCTCGCTCGTGCCGACGAGGAGACGTACGTCCTTCCTTCGCTCCCGGGGCTCGACGAGGCCGAGCACCTCTCAAAGGGGCCCTGGGACACACACAAATAAATACACAGAAATAAAAGGATTCCCCATAGTTTCCTATATTTTTTCTGGGTGTTCGTCTTCCCCCCCACTTCCCATTTTCCCCCATATGTTCGGAGGGATCGACGATTCATTGTGCCTGTGTGCTTTTTTCCCCTCCTGCACCTCCTCCTGCCTGCGCATCTCCTCGAGCCGCGCCTCCTCCCGCCGGCGCTCCGCCTCGAGCCGCAGGCGCTCGGCCTCCAGGCTCTCGCGCTCCTCCGAGGAGAGGGGGGGGGGGGGGCCGTCGGCGCGGAGGCGCCCGCGGCGGCGGCCGCTGCCTCCCCCCCCGGGAGTCGGGCCTGTCCCCCTGCAGGAGGGGTCTCCCAAACCAGGAGGGGGAGGCGGAGGGGGCGAGGAGGAGGAGGAGGGGGAGGCGGAGGCGGAGGCGGAGGCGGAGGAGGAGGAGGAGGAGGAGGAGGAGGAGGAGGAGGAGGAGGAGGCGGAGGCGGAGGCGGGGAGGCGGAGGCGGAGGCGGAGGAGGAGGAGGAGGAGGGAGGAGGCGGAGGCGGGGCGGAGGCGGAGGAGGAGGCGGAGGCGGAGGCGGAGGCGGAGGGCGTAGAGGAGGAGAAGGAGGAGGGAGGAGGAGAGGAGGGGAGGGAGGAGGAGGAGGAGGAGGAGGAGGAGGAGGAGGAGAGAGAACTAGTCTGGGGACGATGTTTCTGACTTCTTTTGCATGTGCTTGAGCTATCTCTTATGTCGCCCTCCAAAGCCCGCCTGCAGGAGGACATGCCCGACCCAATCCTCGTCCCTCCTCCTCGTCCCTCCTCCCTCCTCGGGGAACTGCTAACCTGGGTCAATCTGACCGGGTCAGCTGGAAACCAAAAAGCTGCAATGCAGGAAACAATCACTGCAACGCAGGGCTTCGCAAACCCAGGTCAGCCAATATGCGCGGCCGCCTCGCGACCACGAGCTGCTCGCTGACCCATTTCAGCCAGAGGGGGTCTTTGCAGGATCCCGCAGGATCCGATGTCCTGGCTGACCCACGTTTGCGTTAACCGCCGTCCCTTGAGCCCCGACGTCCTCCAGCCCCGGTGTCACCAGTCTGAGCTTCTCGGGGCGGGGGGGGCCTTCCAGGCTTCTGGCAGCGCGGGAAGCACAGTGCTCTCCTGACCGCGTGCGCCGATCCGCACCGGCGGTGCAGCCTGGGCTCGTGTGCTCAGGTCGGGCATGTCCTCCTGCAGGAGGACTCTGGAGGAGAGATAGAAAATGGCCCAAAAGAAGCAGAACACATAGCAGCAGTTGGTCAAAAATCAGCAAAAACGGTGGCAACACACAGCAGAAAACTCGTCCCCAGACTATGTGTTTGACTATTTTTGACTGCTCATCCTGTAGAGGGACAGGCCCGACCTACGTGCGTGCGCATTCTGGGATCGCGCGGTGAGCGACGGACCGACCGACCTCCTGCTCCTCCTGCGCGGCTCCTCCCGCGCAGCTCCGCCTGCTCTCCCCCCGTTCCCCTCCTCCGCGGCCCCCGCTCGACGCCCCCTCCCCCCTTGTTTGGACGCCCGAAACGGGTACGGAAAACATGGGTACAAGGCCCAACAACAAATGTTGTCCCAAACCAACAGCGGCCGCTGTTGGGCAGGCGGCCTTCTGTCTCGAATGGACACAGGCCGCGGCGGCGTGGACAGCGAGTCCTCTTCGAAATGAACAGGAACTGCTGTTGGGCATTGTACCCGCTCTTTCCGTACCCATTTCGGGCGTCTGTGGGAACACCGTGGGAAAAACACACACACAGTCTGTGGGAAAAACACACACAGTCTGCGTGTGTTTTTTTCCCACAATGTGTTTTTTTCCCACAGACCTTGGGGAAATCAAAAGGTACCGATACCGCTACTTCCCGGACCTCTCGCGGGGTGCGTTCTGACCAGAACTCCGAGGCGAATCCAGCGGTGGCGGCGAGGGCCGCCCAGAGGAGGCCCAGAAAGGGAACACGAGCGCGAAGGATAGAGGTAGGGGTACCTCTTCCTCCTCTGACGCTCGAGCCCCCTCCCCCCCTGCCCCCGTGGCTCCCAGCCTCCCCCCGCTCCCCCGGGCGCACGACGCCCTGGACTGGGGCGGCCGGACGACGCCCTCCTCCTCCTCCTCCTCCTCCTTCTCCTCCTCCTCCTCCTCCTTCCCCTCCTCCTCCTCCTCCTCCTCCTCCTCCTCCTCCTCATCCTCCTCCTCCCTCCTCCTCCTCTCTCCTCCTCCTCCTCCTCCTCCTCTCCCCCCTCCTCCTCCTCCTTCTCCTCCTCCTCCTGGCGCCAGCCTCGAGCGCCGGCGCGCCGCCGCCGCGCCCACGCGGCGCGACGGGGCCGCACCCCCCGGGCGGGGGGCGCCGCGCTCCTGGCGCTGCCGCTCCTCCTCGGCCGCGCGCTCGGCGGCCGCCCGGCGCTCCTCCTGCGGGCGGGGGCTGCGGAGCGATGGGCAGAAGTCGCCGGATCGTCGGCCGGTCGCGCGCTAGAGAGTTACAGTCGGGGCGTTGACCTAAGGAACCCCAAATAAGGAAAGAGGCCCCTATCTTCCACAAGTTAAGCTTCGCTTTCGTATCGAAATCTTAGGGGAAAACCTGAGGCACCGGATCGTCGGCCGGTCGCGCGCTGGAGTTACAGTCGGGGCGTTGACCTAAGGAACCCCAAATAAGGAACGAGGCCCCTTTTTCCGTAAGTTAACCCTCGATTTCCTGTCGAAAACCTAAGGGAAACCTGAGGCAAGCTGCGAAACACTCAAGGAACGCGGAGCCCCTCCCCAATGAAAAGGGTTCCTTCTTCAGCGCCCCGACTGTATGCTGTTCCCGTCGTTCTGGGGGGCCACGTGCCACGAAGAACCTCGAGCGCACCCGAAACATACCGAGGCGGTGCCTGCCCGACACAAGGGCGAAAAGCGTCGAGCGAGCATCGCCTGCCTCCCAGGGCCCGACACGTGGAAAACCTTCAGTGCGGGCACTTGCTGGGTGCTCGAAGTTCTTTCTGGTGATCAAGGCTAAGATTAGGTCGGGCATGTCCCCCTACAGGCGGATTTTGGGCGAGATATAGAACAAGGTAAGCCAACACTCCCAAGTAGCCAAAACAATAATCTGAACATCGTCCCAGACCACGTTTTGACTATCTTTGAACTCTCCTCCTGTAGAGGGACAGGTTTCGCTTAAGGCTACCCATCGGTCGGAAGAAGTAGGTAGAAACATGAAGTAGGAAGGCGCTGGAAATACATCGGGTTTCCGCCCGCCTCCTGAAGAGGAAGGAAGAGGGAAAACCACTCGACTCTTGATGTAGGAAGGCGCTAAACGTAGATTGGAATCTGGGAATCCAGAAATACCTACTCTCAACGACCGATGGGTAAGACCGGCTCGAACATCATGACGCCGGGGCAGATCGGGCCGCCACTGCCCTGCGGCGGGGCGCCTCGCCGCCACCGCGTGGCCCCCCTTTCGCGGGGGCCTCCCACGGCACGGCGAGCCGGGCGCGCGCCCCGGACGGGAGAGGACCGACTACCTACCAGACCACCCCAACCCAACCCGAAGACCCGAATTTCGGGTGGGGGGGGGGGTAAGTCGGGAGCGGCAGAGAGGGGGGTGTCCAAGAGGGGTGTGTGCAAATCATGACCGGCGGCATGTGCGCGGCCCAGCGGGGGAGCCAGGGACGTAATGAAATGAGAAGAGGCGCCATGAAATCTGGGGAAATATCATGGCCCCCGCCACGATATCCACCCCCCCCTAGTCAGCACCCCCCCCTTTTCCGCCCCCGAGTAAGGCTTCCACATGTGTTTGTTCTATGTTTCCCGACCCCCCCCCCCACTGGAACTCGAGGGGAAATCTGAGCCTCCGGGTTGGGTTGGGGTGGTTTGGTGGGTGGTGGAGGCAAGGGCTCCCAACTTCGCGCTTCGCGCTGCGCGAAGCGCGAAGTGCGAATAACTTCGCGCTCTCGCGCCGCCTCCCAGGGGAGCAAAAGAGGATGAGGAGGAATCGGAGCCGAACCGCGAAGCGCGAAGCGCGAATAACTTCGCGCCCTCGAAGGCGCCCTTGTGGAGGACACAACTGCACAAACGGAGCACTTCGGAGGTCCGCGCGGACGTCTCGGATCTGCCCTGGACCCCCGCCAGCGGCACCTCCGGCGCCGCCCCTGGCGCGCTCCGCGCGCCAGGGAGGGCCGCACGGATCCAAGAAGTCCGCGCGGACCCCCGCAAGTTTGTGCTCATGCAGTTGTGCTTCTTCTCCTCCTCCTCCTCCTCCTCCTCCTCCTCCTCCTCCTCCTCCTCCCTCCTCTCCTCCTCCTCCTCCCTTTCCTCCTCCTCCTCCCCCTCCTCCTCCTCCTCCTCCTCCTCCTCCTCCTCCTCCTTCCCCTCCTCCTCCTCCTCCTCCTCCTCCTCCGTCCCCTTCTCCTTCTTCGACCGGAGCGGCCTCGTGGAGGGGGGGGAACCCCTCGCCACCAAGACCTGCGCTGCGTTCGGCACGAAGCGCGGGGGTCAAACCCCCCTTGACGGGGCTCATCCTCGCCATCGCCACCGTCATCACCGACATCGTCGTCCCCAGACGCCCGACGTCGTGATTTCTTCACAACGCCGACCCCCAGCGGTCTGGACCCTCTCCCCGGGACCCGTTCCTCTTCCCGAGTCTTTGTTTGACGGTCCCGAGGCCCGGGAAGGGCCCCCGGAGGCCGAAAATCCGCCGACCCTGTCGGTGTGTGGAAGAGGCTTTGTTGTTTGCTGCTTCTGCCTCGTCGTTCCTTTGTCCCGTTTCCCTGCAGCGTCGTCGTTTTTTGCCCTTTCCTTTTCCTCGTCGTCTCTGATTCAAAGGGAAGCCCCTTCCCTTTCTTCCCTTCCCCGCGCGAGGAAGGGGGGGGGTCCCGTTCCTTTTCCTCGTCGTCTCTGAATCACAGGGAAGCCCCTTCCCTTTCTTCCCTTCCCCGCGCGGGGGGGGGGGGGTCCCGGGGGGGGTTAGCGAGGGGGGGTAGCGAGGGGGGGTCCTGGGTCAGATACGCCGCCCTCCTGGGGATCCTCGGTCAGAGGGAACCCCCTTCCCTTTCTTCCCTGCCCCGCGCGGGGGGGGGGATCCCGGGGGGGGGTAGCGAGGGGGGGTAGCCAGGGGGGGTAGCGAGGGGGGTCCTGAGTCAGATACGCCGCCCTTCTGGGGATTCTCGATCAGATACATCGCCCTCCCGGATTCGCAATGTCGCCTCTGAATCAAAGGGAAGCCCCTTCCCCACGTGTTCGTCGTCCCTGCCTGCTCCATCCATTAACTCCTGCTCCCCCTTCTGTCTTTTCCATGTCTCCTCCGCATCTTCATGCTCCTCTTACTCCTCCTCCCACCTGTTCCTCCTCCTTCACTCCTCCGTCTCCTCCTCCTCCCCGCCCTCTCCCCCCCGTTTCCCTCGAGAGCCGATGCCTCCAGGGTCGGCGGCACAGGCCGTAAGGCCAGCGCAATAGCGAAAGCCCTCCCGTCGTGACTTCTTCACAGCGCGAGGGGGTCCGGGTCGCCGTCCTCGTCGTCGACGTCTCCCGCCCCCCGCGCGCAGGGCCCGACGGAGCACGAGCGGGCCCGCCGTGCACTCTCCACGGGGGCCCCTGCACCCCGACGCGGAGGAGACCGGTCCGCCGCCGCCACCGCGGACAAACGCCGTCGAGGGGGCCCAGGGGCACGCAGAGAGAGAGACACAGACTGCGGGCTAAACTTCTGTCTATATCCACTGCAGCATGGAGCTTCGGGCTCCCCTCCCAAGAAACCCGAGGCGCACTGGATGTGGATAAATTTGCCCCCTAGAGGCTCGATTTTTATCCATATCCAGTGCGCCTCGGCCTTGTGGCGCCGCTTCCAAAAAAGTCCCAAAGGCACTGGATATGGACATGAATCTTGCCAAGCAACAAACAACAAGGGTCCCCATGTTTGTTCCCCCATATTTTCTAGGTTCCCGTCCTCGTCCCACAATCTTCTCCTGGGAGAGTCGACGACTAATCGTGTCTGTGTGTTGCTTTACCTCCTGGGCAATGTGTGCGCAGCCCTGACGGCTGCCAACCGTTGGTATTCGGGGATCTTCTGACCCGGGTCAATCCAAACCCGGGTCAGCAGGAAACCAATTATCCCAGCGCGCCCCTACCTAGGAGTTGGAACATTTAGGCAAACAACATCTACATTTACACCAACAGCTACATTTACATCTACACCTGCATCTACATCTATAGCAACATCAACAGCGAGACTCACATATACATCTACATCCACACCTACATCTACACCTACATATACATATACATCTACACCTACATCCACATCTACAGACGTGCTCCCGCCTCGTCCTCCCCGTCCTCCTCGTCCTCCTCCTCGTCCTCCTCCTCCTTCCTCCTCCCCCCTTTCGTCCTAGATTGGAGCAATGCAATGCTATGCTATGCTATGCTATGCTGTGTTATGCTGCGCTATGCTATGTTGTGTTATGATATGATATGCGATGCGATGCTATGCTATGATATGTTATGATGAGCTATGCTATGTTATGCTATGCTATGCTATGTTTGGCTTGGCTATGCTATGCTATGATGTGCTAATGCTGCGCTGCGCTATGCTGCGCTGCGCTAAGCTAAAGTAAGGTAAGGTAAACTATGCTAAGCTAAGCTAGGCTGACCTAAGCTAAGCTAGGCTAGGCTACGCTAAGCTAAGCTAAGCCAAGCCAAGCCAAGCCAAGCGAAGCTCAGCTCAGCTAAAATGAGATAGGCGAAGCTAAGCTAAGCTAAGCTAAGCCAAGCTAAGCTAAGCTAGGCTAGGCTAGGCTAGGCTAGGCTAGGTAAAGCTAAGCTAAGTTAAGCTAAGCTAAGCTTAGATGAGATAAGCTAAGCTAAGCTTAGCTCAGCTTAGCTAAGCTGGGTGAACCCAGGGGCGTAACTGCGGGAACCGCGGGGAGGATCCTGGGGGAACCGCCCGGGGCGGGGAACACTGCCCGGCCCCTTTAAGCAAAGAGAGTAAGAAACCTTCTAGGCAGAGCCTAGGTAGGGAAAAACCGGACTCCGGGGATCTGGGGCTTTGGGACCCTTCGAACGGGCCTCGAAGCGGCTGCCCGGGCCTCGCAGGGCGTTTTGCCAAGCCTTCGCAGCACACCTAGGGCGATCAGGGGGGTCATCGGAGACGTCCTGGAGAACCCTGAGACAGCATAAGAGCGCTCCAAGAAGCCGTCATACCCCGAAAGATCGCTCCAAAACGTACCAAGAGGCCGCCAAGAGCACCCCCAAGAAGGCCCCAAGATGGAAAAAACAGTGATTTAATGCAGGTTGTTGGTGAATTTGAGGTTCTCCTCTTTTCGGCTTCCCGACACTCCCAGACAGCGGTCTTCTGGGCGTCCGAAGTCGCCTGGGAGGCACAGAAATCGCCCCACAGTCATCCGAAAGGGCTCCCAGGCAGTCCAAGAGAGCCCCAAGCA